ACCAGCTAACATTAATTGACTAATCATATCAGCAATGAAAATGAAAATGTGAATGAGTACTAGTCAGGAAAAATCACTATCATACTAATTAGATTGTAAGGGCAGACTGATTGCTATAAAAGGAGGGAAGAAGTGCTTCCAATCATTGTGTTCTTGTTAGCAATGGTTACCTCCAAAGAAACACGTGCAGCCATCATCGCTTTGCATCAAAATGGCCTCAAATGCAAGGAAATTGCTACAAAGAATATTGCAACTGAAAGAACCATTTACCGGATCATTCAAGAACTTCAAGGAGAGAGGTTCGACTGCAGTGAAGAAGTCTTCAGGACGTCCCAGAGTGTCCAGCAAGCGCCAGGACTGTCTCCTCCTGAGGAGGCAGAATCGTGTCACCAGCAGTGCAGAGCTTGCTCAGGAATGGCAGCAGGTTGGTGTGAGAGCATCTGCACACACAGTGAGGCCAAGACTTTTAGACAACGGCCTGGTGTCAAGAAGAGTAGCAAAGAAGCCATTTCTCTCCAAGAAAAACGTCAAGGACAGACTGAAATTCTGCAGGAAGTACAAGGATTGGACAGCAGAAGACTGGTGCAGTTATTTTCTCTGATGAAACTCCCATCTGACTGTTTGGGACATCTGGAAAATCGATTGTTCGGAGAAGAAAATGTGAACGCTACCATGAGTCCTGTGTTGTGCCAACAATGAAGCATCCTGAGACCATCCATGTGTGGGGTTGCTTTTCAACCAAGGGAGTGGGCTCTTTAATAATTCTACCCAAAAAAACTGGCATGAATAAAGAATGGTATCAAAACGTCCTGCAAGAGCGACTTCTTCCAATGATCCATGTGCAGTTTGGCAGGGTGATAAAGAAGTGGCTCGAAGATCATTACATTGAAATTTTGAATCCGTGGCCAGGCGACTCCCCGGATCTCAATCCCATAGAGAACCTGTGGTCAGTCCTTGAAAGGCGAGTGGACAAGCAGAAGCCCACAAATTGTGATCAACTCTGAGAACTAATAAGGCAAGAATGGATCGCATCAGTCTGAATTTGGCCCAGAAGCTAATATCCAGCATGCCAGAGCGAACACCAGAGCGAACACTGCAAATATTGACTCATTATATATTTTTTTTGCCAATAAAATCCTTTAAAACGTATTATATGCTTATCATTGTTTTTCAGTATACAATAGAAACATGTGGAAAAATAATCTACAAATAGTGAAGCAGCAAACTTTGCAAAACACAAAATTTATGTCACTGCCAAAACTTTTGGCCATGACTGTAAGTACATGACATACACGTTTAAATAGAAATTAAATTCTATTATAATTTACCATTTAATTTACCATTTAATAAAGTGCAATTAAACTATTTTCATTTAATTTCAATTAACATACAGATAAGTGACCGAATAAATTACATTTAGTTTGTACTTAAGTATATTCTTTTGATGTATTTTACTTATGTAATATATGCTTTTTATAAAAGTATGCTGAAGTGTACATCTTTT